TAACCATTGTCATAAAACAATATGTGTACTAACTGTTTAATGAGAAACTATTTGTTCTGTAAACCTTCATCTAAAGTACAATTAAAAAAAAAAAAAAAGAAAGAAAGGTGCTTGGCACATAAATGCCCAGTGAATGGTAGCTATTATCATTCCTAAGGTGCTTGGATCACACAGTGGTTAAGGGCTCGGCTACTAACAGAAAGGTCGGTGGTTCGAACCCACCAGCCACTCCAAGGGAGAAAGGTATGACAGTCGGCATCCATAAACATTATAGCCTCTGGCCTGTAGGGTCGCTATGAGTTGGAATACACTCAACAGCAAAGGGGATTATCATTCCTATAAGTTTTTATAAATGAGTAAAATGAACTGAGAGATGTATAGAGGTTTCTTCCCAAGTGGAGAAGCTGGGATTCAAGCCAGCTTTGCTGCATTACAAGACCTGAATCTCTGCCACCCACAATCTTTGGGGCTGGCCCACGCTGGAGACTTTTCTAGGTGCCCTTAGGAATTGTCCTAGATTTGGTGAGGTGCCCACATATCTGTAATGAGCATTGAGCAACAGCATCAGTTTCTACACAAGTCTTTGTCTTTTCAAAGCCTGCTTATAATATTAACCAGCTCCTTCCTGACAACCCACAGCCCCTACCAAAAAGGTCCAAACCCACTGTGGTCCAGTCAATGCCGACTCATAGCATCCCTATAGGGCAGGGTAGAACCGCCCCATAGGGTTTCCAAGAAGCAGCTCGTGGATTTGAACTGCTGACCTTTTGGTTAGCAGCCAAGCTCTTAACCACTGCTCCAGCAGGGCTCCCTACTGTGTAATCTGGTAAAATAACCTGTTCCCGTTGAGTCAATTTCTGACTCATAGTGACCCTATAAGACAGAGTAGAACTGCCCCATAGGGTTTACAAGGAGCACCTGCTGGATCTGAACTGCTGACCTTTTGGTTAGCAGCCTATAGCTCTTAACCACTGTGCTACCAGGGTTTCCACACTGCCAATAGTTTTATTTTATATTCAATTACTTTCACTTTAACACCATAGAATTTGTTGTCTGATGCAGTTAGATAAATGAGGAGAGATACAGGAGAGCTGAGCTGCAGTCCTAATGATAGCTGTATAATCTTGGAAAAGAGTGGCTTCATTTCCCAGAGCCTCAGTTTTCTCATCTGTTCCTCATGAGAGAGGTGGACTAGATCAGTGTTTCCTAAATTTCATTTGTTATTGGACCACTGCTACGATTCTTTGCCAAAACCGTGTACCACCTGTATTATTATTTTCTTAATATTTTATATTTACTTCCTTTTAAAATTTAAATTTGCTTAAAAATCTTTACATCATCAATGTGATGGAATAAAACATAAACAGAAAATAATGGGAGAAATAAAGACAGGGAAAATAAAACAATGTTTTTAAATCATCTAGATACTCCCACCTCTTGAAGGCTTTGACCCTGCAGTCTGATCTCTTGTTTGTTAAAATGGATGATTATTTGTTAAAATGGATGATTATTAAGTGTTAGAGAAGTGTTAAAGACAGCCTAGCACAAACTGAGACTTTCTTCTTGACATAGTCAGAGGGATTGAAAGAGAGTTGTAAGAGGGATAACTTATTTAATGCCTGTGTACCACATAAAAACACCTCTCATGTCACTAGTGGTACATGTCCCACACTTTGTGGAACTCAATGTTCCTTCCCTTTCCAAGACTCCTTCATTCTGAATGTGCTATATGTCCTTTCAGAACTCACCTCACTCCTAGAGGGGGCCTTCCTGAATTAACCGTACCCAACTCTGCAATTTCATACCAGTCTTTCTACCAATTCCTCCCTCGCTTAACAAGTTAACTTTGAACACTTGCTGGTGTCTCATCTTGCATTTTCTTTTTTCTCTTATATACACTGAGCATTTTTCATGTAACTGTCCAAGTGAGGGATGTGCAAAGGGGGACAAAAAAGGAGCAGAAGATCAGAGAACAAACATTCTTTGAGCACTTACTGTGTATCATGCAGTATGTTAAGAGCTTTAATCTTCTGATAACTCTCTGAGGTAGCTGTTATCGCCCCACTTATACGGGAGACGAAGCTTGAGCTCAGAGAGCTTAGTTCCCTACTCAGGAGCACAAGGTCAGGAAGGGACATAACCTGGATTCAGATCCTGTCTGCAGGACTCCAGGGCCTTCTATTCTTCCCTCTGCACC